CTGGGATGTCATGGCTGCAACCCCAGATGCAGGTTCCTCTCATATGCTCAAAGTCCAGCTGTGGCACACTCCTGGACTGACTGAAAGGAAGATTTTGTGATTGTTGCCAAGAGCCAAAAGTAGCTGTGAGCCTGAAGAATCTCAAGGCAAATCTGAACACATCCACCCCCAGCAGATGGGTAGTAGAAGGGTCAAGGGCTTCAGAGTGAGGTGTTTTTATGCCACCAAAGAGGAAATTCCTGCTCTATCCAAGGTGGAACAGGAAGGCCTCAGGAGAGGTGACATGGCTATCAGAGATGAAAGCAAGTACTGGCTACTCCTGTTGACTGTCCACTGAACATCAAGCCCTTAAGTCCAAGGTAGAACGTAAGAAAGGTTGAGAGGCAGCCCAGGGCCTGGGAAGAGCCCAAGTGGCACAGTGAGGGATGGGGATCCTGGCCCAGCTCTGCCCCTAACAGTAATTTGACTTGGGATAAGTTACTGGACCTTCCACAAAGCCATGCAAATCAGATTGGACTTAAAGGTAGGATTTTGTCCTGGGTTCATGAAGGCCCTGAAAAATGATGTGAAACTGCAGAGTAGCTGCAAAGCTGGCCAGTTTAGACAGTATGCCAGAAGTCAAGTGGTAGAATCTTTAGGCTGAATAACCCAGGCAGGGTTCCTAGAAGAAAACGTGAGCTGGGCCTTAAAGAACCATTGAAATTGTGACAGTGCAATAGAAGGAGGACACCACTGGTAGAGAAACTGCTAGCTTTCTCAGAAACACTCGGTGACTCTCGGCGACTCCCCAGGCCTGCTATGTGCATCCCCACACAGCATTCAGGGCTCCACATAGCCTGGCCCCAGTACCTCTCCTTGTATAAGACCTGAGCAACCCTCCTGCCCCTCAGCAAGTTGTGAATTCCCTGCAACTACTTCTCTGTCCTTATTCCTCAGTGCCTTTTCCCCAGTCCTCATCTCCCTTCAGAATTCGGCATTCTTTTCCCTTTTCCATCTGAACTCTGTTCCTTTTCCTTCTTTCTATCTTTTCTAAAGATCACACATAGACAGGTCCTCACTCACTAAACGATAGAAACCTCTCCCATAGCTTACTCATCCTTGTGGGATGCAGGCTAGGCCCATAGCTAGTGTTTGACAATTGTCAAGCAAATAGATGAATGATCAGGCAGGAAGACGGTTGGTTATACAGAACAGTGGACCACAGAACGGAGGACCATGAACTGGAGGGAGCTTGGCTAATCCAAGAACAGGGCTGACATCTCTCTTGGTCAAGATTCCTGGGGCTAGAGGAGCTCAGGTGTTCCTATTTCAATCTGATATGGAGCCTCCCTAGCTTTGCAGGAAGCAGGCCAGATGCCACAAGCACCTCTGGGGTGGCAGGTAAGCAGGCATGTTGTAGCTCTACACGCCGCTGAAGGGAAGGGTGTCGATACTGGAGCCAGGCCGACTGTGCTCTGGCCCTAACTCTGCTACTTGCTGCCAATAGAAGAGTGAAAGCCACTGAACAACCCTGCGCTTTTGGTTATCTCCTTTATCAAAGGGCCTGATACTACCTTCTTTTTTTTTTTTTTTTTTTTGGTCTTTTTCATTTTCATTTTTATCGGTACCAGGGATTGAACTTATGACCGCCTGCTTGCAAGCTAGGTGCTTATGCCGCTGAGCTAAATCCTCAGCCCCTACTACCTCCTTTTCAAAGTTGTTGTGAGGATTGTGGAGAATACGTAAACCTAAAGACTCCGTGTAAAGACCAGTACTGAAGCTATGGTTCATTGTTGCATATGAATGGAGGAGGTTTTGAAGAGAGTTCCAAGAAAGTTTTAAGATAGGGAATTGAAGCTTAAACAGAGAATCCAAGTTGCTGCCATTGTCTGCTTGGAAGCCAGGCTGTCACTAGTTTGGCACTGGGAGGTCCAGACCCAGGTATAGGAGCCCATTTAACAGTGGGCCCATGGTGGGATGCATTAACAAGTTCTCATATGATATACCAAGGTTGTTTAAGGTCAGGATAGGAGTACCAAGTTCTCCCACAAGGACACATCCCATGAGTGGTGCTCACAAGTGAAATACTAGTCAGCCCCAAGGAAGGCTACAGCTACGGCCTTGGAGAGATGACCCAGAAACAGTGCTTAGAAAGAGCAGACACCTACCTCAGTCCTACTTCTGGACATAGGCAGGGCAGAAGCAGAGAATCTAGGTTGCTGCCATTGTCTGCTCGGGAGCCAGGCCATTACTGGTTTGGCACAGAGAGGTCCATTAGAGGTCCAGGCCCATCTAATAGGCTGGGCTGCAGCTCTGGAACCTCAATAGAGAAGGCAGGAAGATGGATAATACCCAAAGATAAAACACCATGCAGGGGACCATGAACTGGCAAGAGGAGCTCTGGTCCTGGCTAACCCAAGTGGGGCCCATATCACTCTAGGTCAAGATTCTTGGGGCTAAAAAAGCTCAGGTAATTTCCTAATTCAATGTGAATCAGAGCCTCCCCTGCTCTGCAGAAAGTCCAGGTCCAGATCCCCAGATTACCCTGGGCCGGTCTTAGACCTGTGTGTAGAGCCACCATGGTTCAGAAGTCAGGTCAGCATAACCGATTGAAACTAAAGGAGGTAGGGAAATGAAGAAGAGAGAAGAGGAAAGGACCCAAAGGCAGCCTTGATTCTCTGGGTGAATGGGGCACCGTTAACAGAATCAGGAAGGCCTCAATCCTCACTTCAAGCTACATTCTCCTCTCACTGGGAAGTACTGTCACCCAAGGCCAAGGTCCTGGTGTCCCTCTAGATTTGCCCAGCCCCTATTCCCACTGCTCACACACATTTGCCCTTTTGGCTCAGTGCTCTCTCTTCCATCTCTGCCACTCACCTGGTTCAGGCGTCAGCTTTCCTTCCTGGCTTGCTCCCTCCTCTCCTCACCCCTACTGCCCACCATTCATCCATTGCCAGAGTTCTCTGCCAAAACCAAATCTGGCCACACTCACCTTTGGCTTGAAATCATCTGGAAACTTCACATTTTAGGACAGACCGTCCCTTTAGTAGGACAGCAGAACCTCCATGGTCTGTCTGGCCTTCTGTCCCCTTCCCCAGCAAATGGAAACCCAGTTACCAACTACAGGTCCCCTGGAGCCACGCTGTTTGGACCCTCCAGATGTGCTGCTCAGTCTGCTTGGAGCATTCTCCCCATTCTTCCTTCTCTAGCCAATCCCCTGTCAGCCATTCTGACTCCACTCCAGAAGCCAAGCTGGGGTAGGGGCTCCTCTTCTGCGCTCCCCTCTCCCTCCTTCTTCATTGTTCTCCCCATTTTGCCCTGGATTTTCCCAGATCCCTCTGCTTCCCACACCTGGAGTCCAGGTCTCTATGTATGCCATGGCACTCACTAGGTTCTCTCAGACAAACCATCAGCACTCAGGAAACAGTCTGTGAATGAATGGAGAGGTGAGCACGAATGAGGAGGGAAACCAGGAGATAAGCTGGCAGGGAAGGCTGGTGCCTGGGTCCAAGGACAATGAGATGGAGGTGTCGGTGGCATCTAGATAGAGACTCAGGCTTCCCTGGACATGGCAGCTTGAGGCTTAGAGAGGGGAGGGTCTCTTAGAGATCCAATCTCCCCAGAAAAATCTAGAGAGAAGGAGATCAAATGACCAACAAGTGGCTCAGTTTTCTAAACTGGCTTTGTCAACTGAGAGTACACTGGAGCTAGAGGACATTGTAAGGAGCTTGTCTAGCCTAATTCTTTCATTAGACACATGAAGAAACTACAGCTCCATAGCCTGAGTTAGTGCTCAACTTAGACACTGTCTTTCCATGTAGCCCACACTCTCTCAACCCGTGAGTGGCGCTCATTGCTAAGCCCTGAAGGAGGGGGTTAGTGAGGGGGACATGGGTGGTCAAAGAAGCCAGTTCCACAGAGATCCCTGCACTAACCCCTCCTTCCACAGCACAGCTTTTCACAGTCCCAGAGGAGAGTAGACCTGACCCAGACCTTGGGAGTCCCAGGGCTTTGGCTTTGAATCTCATGTGTTTAAACAGGATAGACCTTTAAGCTTTCAGCAGCAGCTACCCTTATTTTGCCCTGTTTTGAACATTGTTGGCCATTTACTCTCCAGCCCTATGACACTTTGGAAACAGCTAATTAGAAGCCAGAAGCGAGTTTGCTATGGACAGGAAAACTGATAACACTGACTCAAAAAAAAAAAAGCAGCAGAGGAGGTCCCATAGGGACAGGACCAACAGCCATTCACACCAAAGTATGAGAAGACAACTCACCTACACACAAACACCCCGACACAAGTCCAAGATATGGTACAAATGATGCTCAACACATATTCTTTCTTAAGATTTTTACACATTTAGACATCTCACAAGGACTTTCACCCAAAGTGTTTAGGTCATTCTTGCACCATGAGAAGCAAATCCTCTGCTCTTCAAAGGGAAGAGTTAGCTGTAAGAATAAAAGTTCTTCATAAAGGTTCTTTAGAGTAGAAAAAGGAATTGGTATTTATTGACAGGTCACAGTATACCTGGAGGAGACCAAATGTATCCAGTTTCCCAGCTCTTCATCTTTGCATGCAGCAACCATTCAATCTTTGAACTCATGAATGACCAACTTGGTTGCACACCTGAAATCCCAGCACTCAGGAGGCTGGGGCAGGAGGATTATTGAAAGTTTAAAACCAGTCTGGGCTACTGTCTCAAAAAGACAAAAAAAAAAAGTTTGCAGCCTCCTTAAGATGGCGAAAATGAAGCCTGGTGACAAGAATGACCTGCCCATGATTATATGGTACAGAGCTGGCAGGGACCCCGAGTGCTTTCTCTAAGGCTCTGCTGCGATTACCACAATGGGGTCCACTTTGCAAGTGGGAGAACTGTCACTTGCATGATAAGAGTGGCACTAACTCCCCAGCCTTACTTCAGTCAATGCCACAAACATGGGTGGTACGCTTGCTTTGTGTGCAGCCCAGGGTCAAGCCTACCACTGTTTCAGATCACTTTTGCTTTCTTGACTAACAGGAATGAATTCAGAGCATGGACGGACATCAAGCCTGTGAAACCCATAAAAGCCAAGCCCCAGTACAAGCCTCCAGATGACAAGATGGCTCATGAGACCAGCTACAGCGCCCAATTCAAAGGGGAGGCCAATAAGCCAACCGCGGCTGACAATAAGGTCATTGATCGCAGAAGAATACGCAGCCTCTACAGTGAACCTTTCAAGGAACCCCCAAAGGTGAGACTGATCTTGTGGGGACCCCTTAGCACAGCCTAGAGCATCAGAGCATGGAGCCTGGGGACTCTGGCCACCTTATAAAGATTCCTTTCCTCTTGAGCACAGGGTCATCTTCCAGAGGAATCTAAAAGAAGCATTAGACAGGAACATTACCTCAGACAAAGGCAGCTTTTGAAGGTTGACAAATTTCTAGAGAACTATCTCCTGCATTTGAGAAATCCAGAAAAAGAATAACGGAAAACCTCAACCGATCACTAAATTCCCTTATTTTAAAATAGCTGTATTTCTACTCGGAAGGGCTGGCCTGGGGTCACAAGCCCTCTTGCCTGACTTGCTTCCCGTTGGGCCTGGCCTGCTCCCTCCTCACCCTCTGCACCACCCCCTGGCCCTCTCTTCAGTCTGTATAAGGCACTTAATTCTTCCCTTGGTAAATACCATCCACCAGCAAGGCTCAGCCTGTCACAATATACCTGTCACATCAGCTGCAAGGTGTGTTCCCAGGCATTTGTTACTCTAGTACACAGTTTGTGAAAGTGGATTCGGGGGTTTTCTCATAATAACACTGCCCTGCCTTATCTGTATTTCAGTATGAGCTCATGAGCGGGAGAAGCATGTCAGAGATAGAGCCAGTGACACAGGAATCATACTTGCCAAGGAGCTTAGCTTTTTCTATGCTGCCAGGCCATGTGGAATTGGACACATATTATCTGTATTATGTGTGACAGAAGAAAGTGCCTGAGAGCCTAAATACCTACAGAACCTAAATGGCTTTTTCTGTGTTCAAGTGGAGTTTCCTATGAGGCTATAACTCTTTTATAGCTAAGATAACCACCTGACCCAGTTTGCATGGAATACGTCAAGTTTTAGCACAAAAGCTTCCATATTCCAGAAAAACTCTTTGTTCTAGGCAAACCAGGACAATTGATTGCCTTATCTGCAGATCCAGGGATGACTGGAGGCCTCTGGACCTCAGCAAATGGCCCAGGATAGAAGGCTCAATGTCACTTCTACCCATCTGCAGCTGAGGACATCCAGGACATGGGCTTGGCATTAAAGTTTCAGAGGCGGCAGAAAGAAACATTAGGGGAATTAAATCTAGAGATGGGTGGAAGAGGTGGCATATCCAGCCATCATACCCAGGGACTCCAGGATTCTCTGGAAAAGTGCAGGCAGAGATTTCTTCTCAGAATGAGGAGAGGGAGCCGGGGAGGGAACCTGGGGAAGCACAGAGGGCTTGGGACAGCTGCTCTGAGAGAACGGCAAGGCAGCCAGCCGGGAGGTCTGGCCTGAATGAAGCCAATGAAGTACAAACCCAAAGCATCTCAGAGAGAACTCTTCTGCATATGTGCTCACTGCCCGGAGATAAAAACGGGAGAGGCTGGCTGGGGGCAGCAGCAAGCCTCCCAGGAATCCTAGCATCCAGCACCAACCAAAGCCTGCTCCCAGAAATACCCAGGCACCACGGCAGACCTCAGCTCTGCGCTTCATTGTCTGTCGGCCGGGACACGTCCCTCAGGGCAGAGGAGAGAGAACAAGGGGAGCACGGGCTGACTCATGAGTCTTGGCCCTCTAGGTGACCCACCTGCCTTCTTCCATTTCATTGACCACAGCAAATCATAGCCTTTGAGTGAGCTGAGCCAGGCCATGAGCTGTAATCTTCCCAGAGGGAGGAGCAGCAGATACAACACAGGGATAGAGCTCACCACAGGGGTGGCCTAGGGGAAAGGGCAGACAGAGCAAGCAGCTCTCCTGGCAACACTGAAGAACGTTGCCCAGAAAGCTAACCAGGAATTCAGACAGGAGAATCAGGTGTCCAAATGTCCCTGAAAATACTTTCCACACTGCACCGCTGTGTCAACCTGCATCGATGCTGTTATCCTTCCACTGACACTGTCCTTTCTCTAAACCCTCTCTCTCCTCTCTCCCTTTTGTGTTTCTGTGTTTGCCATCTATGCGGCTGTCTCTCCATGCAGGTGGAAAAACCTAGTTCCAAACCAAAAAAGACCTCAGCGAGCCATAAGCCCCTGAAGAAGGCCAAAGACAAGCAGGCGGCGTCGGGCCAGGCTGCCAAGAAAAAGAGCACGGAGGGCCCCAGTGCCACCAAACCTGATGACAAGGAGCAAAGTAAAGAGATGAACAATAAACTGGCTGAGGCTAAAGAGTAAATGTCACTGCACTTTCCTTTTATCTCTCTCTCTTTCTCTCTCTCTCTCTCTCTCTCTCTCTCTCTCTCTCTCTCTCTCTCTAAACAACAAACAAAAAAGGCCACAAAATTAATTAGAGACTTTCTCTCTGCCTTGGTCCTGAGTGTTCCAGGAGCTCTTTGGTTTGGTTTCTTTCAGTGGACAAATCCTGAGATTCAGGATACAGATTGAGTGGTTGCCTCCACCTGCAGGTGGCCTAGCTCCAGCCACAGGGCCCTCGGGACACCTGCAAGCATCTCCCACTGGCTGTGCCCTCCCTTGTAGGCCCCAGCTGGTGCCAAGCACTTTTTCTTGTAGAGCTTGGAAATCTCTGCTGTAGGGTCTTCTCCCCTGCTCCTCCCAGGGTTTATCTCCCTTTTTGACTTGGAGCTTTAGGTAAACGTTCTTTCCCAAAGTTCAGAGGATAATCATGTGCTATGGAAGCTTAGCTTGGGCTTCAGCAGTTGACAACCTTTGAAAAACAACTTTGGCCTTAATATCACAAAATAGACTTGTATCTGTTAATTTTAAGTAATCTTAGACTCTTCTATTAGAAGTGTGTGTCCATGTTTTGTTTCCTATCACTGGGCTATAAACTGTATAATACCAAGTAACAGGCCACTGGTGACTGAGACCAGGCTGGGGTGATGAAGGGCTGGGTGTTTTAGATATTATAGATGTGAGAAGGTGGTCCCAGCAGGGAAACTGTGCTCCTCTGTGTGCCCTCAGAACCCTGTACAGAAACTGATTAGGAGTGACTGAAGAGAAAAAGTCACAAGGTAGGGATAGGGTACTTAGTGTGACTTCAATGCCTGTCCCAGGTGGGACAGAGTTGTAACAGCAAGTGTGGTGATGCTCTGCCTCATGGAGAGGACAGTGGTGCTGGGCTCCAGGTTGGCGTCTCTGTGACGCTGCTCCAGGTGAAGAGAGGACCCTGAGAAGTGACTGGGAGGTTGTTTTTGTTGACAAAAAACAGCAGCTCTCAATGTATTCTGTGTTGTGTGCCTGTGTGACCAAAGCCCCCCAGGAGAGGCAAGCACCACCTTTGCTGTGCTAGAGTCACGTGCTGTAGGAATCAGTTAAGGAGTCATTGTGAAAAGGTCCCCAGTGTTTGTGAGGGAACTCAGAATGTCTATCAGAAATATCAGATGTGCAGAGATGTGGATTGCTCAGCATGCTTTTGCCTGTTCTTGAAGTCCTTATCTCCTCTGGCCTTCTGAATGGCTGAGCTGTTGTACAAAGTCCAGCCTCTGCTCAGCCTTGCCTTCTTTTGTCATAAAAGTGGTGAAGATGGAAAACCTCAATTCCTTACCTCAGAGGTCCCTTCAGGCCCTTCCGGTTTGAAGGAGGCAGAGCTCTGCAAGCTCTCTCATTCTCACTGTCCAGGCATCAGTGTCCCTTTATGCTAATTTACTTGTCACGTTGGGGCTGGTTGAGAAGTCTTTGCAAATTCACTCAGCACCTGCCACACAGGCCCTAGTCTTTAACAGAACAGGAAGTCCAGGCCCACTGCCTCCTTCCTTTCCATCTATGCACACAGGCCGTGAGGAAGGAGGAGGCCTTTCCACCCAAAGAAGGTGGAAAATGTCAGCAAGTCTCTGTGCTCATGAAGGACCAATTTTGAATGTCTATCTAGAAATACCTGAGCTAGATCTCAGTACTTTCTGGCGAAATGTTAGCTAATCTTAACACTTACCAGAAAACTCTATCAACATGATTGAACTACATCCAAAGAATTTGCCAGTGTATAGTCATTCTCTCAAAATTCAGCATTAGTCAAACATGTTGATATGACCCCCAACTTGGATTTCTCCATAGAATAATCATGTTTTGTGAAGTAGGTTGATCAGAGTTTGCAATGGGAGCATCCAGCCACCATCCATGTGTTACATGCCTTATGCCAGGCCCTGTGCTAGTCTTGGTGGGCTGCATAAATAAATATGTCCCCACAGAAACACAGCGAGAAGGATGCATATGACAGTCCCATGTGCACCATGACTGAGTCAAGCTGATATTGTCTGTATTATAGTTTCCTAAAGGCCCCCACATCCACCTCACAGCCCCAGAGACTGAATTTCTTATCCTGTTTAAGCCTTTGGATGATTTGTGCAACGTCTTTTTCACCCTGTTAGTGTCTCCTTCTTTTTTATACATCCACCTCAAAAAAAAAACTCTTCTTTGCAGTTAGTTCACTTTGACTCTTGAATGTGTCAATTAACTAACAAGAAATTTCCTTTGATTTCTACTGTTTACAACTATAACTCAACCAGTCTTGTTCTGTATACCAGGCAGACTGAATGAGACTTACTTTGGTTCCTTAAGCAGTGTTTGGCCTTCCTTTCTGAAGGTGACCAAGCTTCAATGCCTGTCCTGCCTCTTCTGTATATTGCCCTGTGGTTCTCTGTACTCTCCTGGCAAGAGGGCCAGGATGGAGACCTGCCCGTTGTCTGCTTGGCCTGCTTATGAAGATTTCCCCAAAGCTGTGCCCTGGTTTCTCCCAGCTTTCTGTTCTCTACCTGGGCCCCCATCCTGTCCATACGGCTGTGCCTCACCGAAGCAGACAGGAAGTGTCTAATTATGATTTTGTGGCCTGGGTTTTGTTGCATACCACAGATTGTCTATGTAATGTGTAGCGCACACCTCTCTTGGTGCTATTTCATTCCTGCTGTTAGTAAGAGAATGACAAAAATATTCATGTATAGCCAATTGATTGTGACGTGCTTGTGGTCTGTGCTTGCTCAGAAAACAAACGAACAGTTTTTTCCAATTATAAATAAATGCTAAAGACGAACACCACTTTCTTGATCTTATTTCCTTGGTGAGGCCCAGCTGAGTAGGTGAAGGAACCAGCCTTTGGCATTTGAGCTGCTTTCCACAAGATGAGCTGTGCCCTGCAGTTTTCCTGGGCTTCTTCATAATGCAGCTTGGCTCTTTTAGATTGCATCTCAGATACTAATTGCAAGCAGTCAGAGCTAAGTGTTGGGAAAGACGAAGACGGACCAGGAGATGCACTGACCAACAAGGTAGTGTAACGTTTTTGATCCCATGTCGCCGGACAAGTGACTGCCTGTGCTCCGCACTGCCTTGCTGTGCTGGGAGGCTGGGTTCTGACTGTTCCCCTTCCAGGGACTCACAGCATTGTTGGTTCTGGCAGAGATGCCTTCGCTTGCTGATTGAATCCATGGTTGTTTTGGAGGTTCCTTCCACAGGGGCTGGCTTGCTGTGTGGGTTATGGGAGCTATGCTCATATTTGTGTCTAACATGGGGGTTAGTTTGCTGAAACTGTTATAAAAGAGGCATAGATCAGCTCATGTGGCTGAAAGCTCAATTGGGCAGGTTTCTTGCTACCAGAAAGTCGCGGAAAGCTTCCAGCAGGGGCGCTGTGGACAGTAGTGGGACGTGATAGTGCAGGCCTTGCAGGGCACCAGGTCAGAGAACAGATCCGCAGAGGCAAAAGTGGGGACCTGCAGGGGAATCTCAGGGGTAAGACCAAGCTGGCCCACTTTGTTATCTTCCTGATAAAGTTGGGAATGAAAGATTTTATATTCTTGAATATGTGATGCATACATGCCTACTGTGTCCCAGACACTGTGCTGGGCACTAAGGAAACTAGGATGACCGAGACCTCACCTCTAATCACTGTGAGGCAGGAAGGAGGAGTCTGTTCTAGCTGGTTCTGTGGATAAGGAAGGACTTCCATGTCCGGGTAGGTGTTGACCTAGTAAGCAGAGGTGATCGTGGCATGCCATGCAGGGGGATCTGCACAGATAAAGGTGCAGAGGGGTCACACCACGGAAGAGCTCAGCTTCTGGGGAGGAGTTCTCTTGGGAGGGGGCAGGCAAAGGTGGACAGTGGCAGAGCTCAGAGGCGGGTGCCGCCGCTTGGTGGGTGACTGCTGACTATGGTCTCCATTCCACACCCATGCCCCCGCATGCTCCCACCATCATGCTTCTCGTCCTTACGCATGCTTAGCAGTGGCCACAGGACCTCCTGCTCCAGGCTAGGAGCCCTGGCAAGGGTGGGGTGGGGAGGCTTTTATTCTATTGCTTGCCCTAATTTCTGATTTTGGGGGACAGTGGTAGGAATTGATCAAATATAATATTTAAAGACTACTATTTGTTTTCTAGATGAATAGAAAACACCCCATCCACCTGCCTACTGTTGTATAAGTAGAAAACACAAAAACTGTTCAATAAATAAAACAAACCTAGGGCCACCACTGGACTAGGGCCACAGAGAAGGCAGGAAGGTGGGGGCCTGCCTGGCACTACCTGTGCTGCCCTGTGAGCCGCATCCCAGCCTTTTGCACAGGCATTCTGCAGGGCTCCCTGCCCTGCCTGGAGCTCCATGAGGTGAATATCCTAGTGCTCACATTGTCCCCCAAACAGCAAACAAACAGAACTAAGACCAAGCATCTAGTTTTAAAATAGGTCATTGTTGCTAAATTAACTATAATGTATCTTATATCAACCTCAGAATTTGTGTATTCTTAGTGAAGACCGCTTCCCCTTTTTTTTTTCCTTTTTTTTTTTTTTTTTTTTTGTCAGTACTTGGGATTGAACTCACGACCGCACTCCCAAGACAGGCACTTATGCCCCTGAGCTAAATCCCCAGCTTTTTTCCTATTTTCACCAGGGCTCAAAAATTTATAACATGCTTCTCATAGACTCAGGCAGTGAGTCTATGATTTTATAACATGCTTCTCATAGACTCAGGCAGTGAGTCTCTCTTTGTGAGAATCATATCTCACAAAGGCTGTAGATTCCGTTAGCATATCATTGTATTTTCAAAAATGCACATTATTCAAGACCACAGGTAGAAAAACTTTCAGGATGCAGCCTGTGGAGAATCTGCAGTTAAAGCAGAGCTCCTTCTAACCCCTCTGAGACCAGCATGGCCGGGACCATGGTCAGAGCAGCCAGGACTACTGAAGCAGAGAGGTGGCTATTTCGAGCATGTGGAAGCAGCCCGCACTGCC